GGCGGAGAGACGAGCCGACACGGAGCGTTTTCAAGGAGTGTTACGTAACGGATCGGCGTTAGATCGCCGGCCAGAGTAACTGTATCTCCGAAGAAGATGCCTTCTTCGTGGTCGACATGAAATCACGAAGCAGAACCTTCGCCCTCGGGACGCCGGCTCTGAGCCTTCTACTTTGCCATTTTTGTCGGAGCGACGTCGTTCGGCAGGGCCGCATTTAGACCTTTACGAGTTACGGGTAGTTAAGGGATTTTGGGGAATAGTTTTGGGGGTCTGAGATTTTAGGTCCGTCGGGAATTGCAAATTTTGGTGGGTTGGAAGCTTGGATATTTGGGGGCTTGAAATCTGGGAGTGTGGAGGTTTGGGAGTTTGGGAATTTGAGGATTTGGAGATTTGGGGATTTGGGGATTTGGGGATTTAGGAGTTTGGGAAGTTTGGATCTTTTGGGGTTTGGTAGATTAAGGATTTGGGCTTCTCAGAGTTTAGGACTTGGGAGTTTGGGACTTCGGGATTTCGCATTCTTGGGAGTTTGAAGCCTTCGGAGTTTGGGACTTTGGAAGTTTGGGACTTTGGGAGTTTGGGACTTTGGCAGTGTTGGCACTTTGGGACCTTAGGACCTTGGGATTATGGGACTTTGAAACTTTGAGTATTTGAGAGTTTGGGACTTTGGGAATTTGGGACTTGGGAGTTTGGGACTTTAGCAGTGTTGGGACTTTGAGAGCTTAGGGCTTTGGGATTTTGGGACTTTGAGACCTTAAGAATTTGAGAGTTTTAGAATTTGGGAGTTTGGGAGTTTGAAAGTTTGGGAATTTGGAAGGATTAGAATTTGGGAGTTCGGGATTTTAGGAGTTTGCAACTTTATGGGTTTGGAACTTCAGAAAGTTTAGATCGTTCAGAGTTCGATAGATTTGATTGCACCTGTGGAAGTTTAAGACTTTAGAAATGCAAGATTATGGAGTGCAGGACTTTGAGAATTTGGAACTTTGTAGCATTGTGAGTTACAGGTTAGGTAACATCATACAGGTTTGCAACACCAATACATTTGCTTATTTTAATTTGCTTTAATTTATGGAGTACGCAACATTAGAATTTTAGTATGTTCTGATACTTCAAAACTTAATGACATTTTTGTTTATAACTCACAGTAACTTCGACAATAACTTCTGCAATATCTTCTCTGCTTGAAGCACATTTTACTTCGCGTAAGAATATGAACCTTAAGAATACATCATTTAATTAGACACCGCTATAAGCAATGATCATGGTCATTTATGTGCGAATACAGATCAAGAGCAACATTGTTATTCTATCAAACTCAATACTGTCGATTTCCAATACGACATCTATTTTTATAAATATCCTTGATTACTCATTAGCTTAAGATAAAGCTGCTCTAGAAGCAAGATAAAATAAAGACGTTAATAGAAGGTTAATATGAAAATTCAACATTGCCATAACTGTTTGGCTACACGATACCTGTAATTTTTCTATCATTCCCATACTTCCATACGACTTCCAACCAGTTTGTTTTTATATTTTCTAATCAATTCAGATGGCCGTTAATTACAGTGTGAAACGATTATTTTTTTATCACCGCAGTTGCAAATGAAGCAATAAGTCACTATTTTCTAGATCGAACCTGGCATCGAATACCGTTTTTGCGTGTCGCACACATAAACAAGGAATCGCGAGAAAACGAATATATTTCCAAGAAATTAACAACTGTCTGGATACATCAGCTATGAAAACAGAGCAATGATATATGGTATGTTCTATTAATGAGCGAAAATGATGTCAGTAATAATTGTGGTACATTAAACGATCAGATAATTATTTCCAGAATAATTTCACGATGTATAATTATATCCTACGATCATTGCATTTTTTTGTCAACATTAAACGCTA